GCTGCCTGCCTGATTCATCTGTGAAAGAAAACAGGGAAGCATGACCTGGTATAAACTGCTGTGACTGTTTATTAAACATCAGTCTGTAGAATGTTGTTGTCGTGTTTTTTACTCATTAAAAATCACCAACCTGGATCTAATGAGAAAATTTTACATTTTTGTCTGAATTCATAAGAATTTGCCAAAACCTAAAATAATTATGAATTGCCGTGAGGTGTGTTGGGTATTAAACGAATACTACCTTTATTTTAAAAATGTTAAAGGGATACTCCACCCAAAACTGAAAATTCTGTCATCATTTACTCACCCTCAAGTTGTTGCAAACCTGTATGAGTTTCTTTCTTCTGCTGAACACAAAGGAAGATATTTTGAAGAACGATTCAAAATATCTTTCAAAATATCTTTGATATACTATTTACAAAATAGTAAATCAACTTTTGATGTAACAGCGCTTCAAATAGCGATTTGTCAAATAGCGATACACTTGTCGCCACCACCATTCATTCAAGCCGATTTTAAATCGTTCATTCAGATTCATTAAACATTTTGAATAGAATGCAGCAATTAATGTCAGAACCTTTAGTAAATTACATGTTATTTTGTTAGTTGTGTGTTAAGAATCGTGGGAGAATTGTGATCTCTGTTTAAAAAAACCCAACTAAATCATGATTCTCAATTTATCCAGAATCGTGTTGCTCTACAATAAAGATGCTATAGCATTACACTTCTACTCACTGGAAAAAATAGCTATTTATTTAATATTTTTATATTTTATATCAAAAGCATGAGTTTTAGGGATGCACCGATATGAACATTTTGGTCGATACCGATAACCGATAATTCTTTATATTTGAAAGCCGATAACCGATATATTGGCCGATAAATCTAAATCCAAAATTGTATATATTTTTTGATTACAAAAGCAAAATCCTCACCATTAAAAGCCATGTCCCAAGTACACTATTATAATGTTCTCATTATAATTTTATGTAGCCTATTTGACAGACTTGCGCTGCACATGTTGTACTTAACTGTATTTTTCTTTTTTTGAAGTGATTCCAATCATATTTCAAGCAATTCAAAGCCATCATGGTGAACAGTGCTCATCTGAAGCGTCTCAGCTGAAGGAAAAAATTATTTATCGGCTTTAATATATCGGCCAAATTTTCTTATCAGGCCTATATATCGATAACAATCAAAAATGAACATCTCAGTATAGGCCGATATCGTGTCCGATATATCGCGTGTCTTTCTCTTTTTCAGAATAAAACCAGTCTATGGCACGACATCCTTTCACTAGTGCGGTCGCGTGTAAATGCTGGCGAGGCAGTATTAGGTCAGTGTGTATTCACTGCTTGTGTTGATGCTGTATGACAGCTCTGCTGCTCCTCTCTGATGTCCTGCGGCACAATCCTGCATCCCTGTGCCAGTCAGACTAGCAACCTGCAACGGTGCTCTGCAGCTCGTGTCCTCCTAGCATCTCTCTCTTGCTCAGCTGTTAATCATTAGAAAAGGGAAGTGTATCAGTTTTCGTCTGCATGGACAGAAGGATGCGGGCCACTGGTGGAGGAGGTCACAGTGATAATAATCACTCTTTTGTTTCCCTTGCCATCAGTATGAACGAGATGTAACAAGCTCATAACATTAGGCTTTGTGTGGCTTCCTGCCGCTGAGAGCGGATCCTTGAATTTGAATTGCAAATGGATGTGATTTTCTTCACTGGGTGCGCAGAAAGTGTGTTTGTGAATTGGTGAGTGGTTTAGATTGGCTTAACTTAAGATTTGGTTTGTTTTTATGGCATAATTCATTATGTTTAGGGTTTTTTTTGGAAGATGAATGTATAAATACTCGGGGAAGTTAACAGAGGCAGCTAGTCAATTTTGTTTTAGTTCAACCAGAACAGTTGTCTAGTGAACAGCTGCGTAGACATGAAGAAGGGTGTGTGTGAGTCTATCAAAGCATTTCATCCCCATTCTCTATGTATAAATAGCCTAACCCACTGACCCACACACACCACTACAGTTGACTGTTTATTTATAGTGGAGTGGTGTTGATTTGACTCAACTTCATTTCTGGAGTATGTAAGGCACTAAAGCTTAATCTAATGGTAACAATGACCTTTTATGGTCACTATGGTCTCTTGCACCATTTAATATGTTATTATTTTTTAATAATATTTAGCCATTGGTATACCTTATAGGAATTATACAGGATTTTTAACATATCTGAGATGTTGTAAACAGTCTGTGCCATAGCTCCTCAGCCCTACTTACAGTAATTGGGTTGTTGACATGAAATGCCAAGCAGTGTCCGGCAGTGTGACATGCTATACTTCCTATATAACTTACATGTTCCACTATATTTAAAGTGTCGAATAATGACATGCCACATTGATTTTTTTGAATGCTTTGTTTTTTGACAAAATAAGAATTAGTCTGCAACAATACATCTTATTTATTCATTTCCACATTTATTAGGTTATTTTATTTATTTTTATTATTTATTTAAATAATAGCAAAGTTATTTTCATCTTTGTTTTTGTATATGTCAAATGCTATTTGTTTCTCGTTTGAGAATGAATGTTTGTTACAGGATTAATTTATGCACCTTTTGAACACATGGGGTGTAATCAAGGGGGTAATCCACCAGCCGGAAACTGAAGCTTCGCTTGGGGGCCGCCATTGTAGCAGACCATCACCTGCTGTTAGCATTCCATTGACTCCCATTCATTTTGGCGTCACTTTGACAGCGAATAACTTTACATCTGAGGCGTCCAAAGACTCCATTTGTCCATTATTTATTTCTAAAGAAACACGACAATGTATAAAAGGCTCCATTACTTTGGATCTTACGTTATGGCCCCGTAGAAGCCGTTTTTGTAAAAATAGTCTAACGATTGTGTCATAACCACTCGACTCTCTGTCGCTCAGTAAATTACCGTATAGACAGGAGGAGAAGCTCGTAGGCAATCTTTTACTGTCTTTGAGGCAATTGGGAGGATGTCGTGGAGGCGTAAAGTCAAGGGAGAAGGCCATAGATAGAGAGTCCAAAGCAACGGGACAAAATATTTCAACAAACAGATTTGTTTCAGATTTCAATTCAGATTTGTCTTGGCACAGCTACTAGAAGACTTACAACTGTCAGAACGGTTGCTCACGTCACATCTACGTCGACAAGCTCAGTTTGAGCCTGCGCAGTCGCTCAGCCATCAGGAAGTGAGTGCTTCTAATGGGCTTCAATTTTCTCCGTTGAAATCTATGGGGTCGCTGTGTCCATTTCTTTTACTTTCTAATGTTGAGTGCTGCTATTCTTTATAGATTTGGTATTAAACACCTAATGACCAAAGTAGATAATAGGCTATATGCACGCTTAAGTTCCGCATTTGACGCAAGGATGCTCGTCAGTTTCTGGTTGGGGAGATTAAAGCGGAGGAAAACCGAGGAAATCGGGATTATGGCAGAGTCTTCCAAATTTACTGTCCTCCCGTCTTTGAAACGAAACTTTCATACGTTTAGATGTAATTTTATATATAGTTGTGTTTATTTAATATAATTTTAAAAAGAAGCATAAACACAACGAGGTGTATCTGTTTTGTCAGTTTTTGTGACTAACGCTTCTTTAGTATAACCATGGAGTATACAATTCAATATAAATTCTCGGTATTGCATTGGACTCTATGATCGGCGGAAGTTATCGAGCATCCTTGACCTTCACCGGAAATACCGCCGTGCATAGAGCCCATTAGTAAAAACTTTGATCGTCCCTCTATCTAAAACAGGTTTAAATAACTTATTTCTCATTTTTTGTAAAATGATTATACATATAGTTTGTTTTATTGCGCAATGTTAAAGGGAGAGATCTCCCAAAAATAAAAATTCTCTTATTGTTTACTCACACATGACTTTCTTTCAGATAAACATATTTTTAGGAAAATAATCAGTCCCTATAATGCCATTGAATGGGTGCCGCTCTGTTGACTCTTAAAAAACCACACACAGCGATAGTGACTGTAATCCACATGACCCCAACGGATGAATCAATGTCTTCTGAAGCTTCACAATACTATTACGTCAAGTGACACAACGTCTCTCTCATGATCGCACGCATGACAGTAAGACTGTAAGCATTGATTTATATTTAAAGTTAAAAACATTAGTATTTTTTCTTAAACGCATATCAATTTGCTTCAGAAGACATTGGTTCATCCACGGGGTCGTATGGATTAACTTCACAGCATCAACAGAGCGGCACCCATTCATGACATATGGACTCACAGAGTGATTGTTTTCCTAAAAATCTTCCTAAAAGTCATGTATATCATGGATAGCATGAGGGGGATTAAACAATGAGAGAATTTTCTACAGTACAGACTACAGTAAATATTTGTTCTATTAAAACCATAACTCATTTGTCATCTTAAATATAATCTTTCCCTTATACATACAGCAAAATACATAGGTTTTAACTTAAATCCTGATGATGAAAAGAGTTAAAGACATGTTATGTGTTTTTCTGCTTTAAATTAGAAACCATCCCCATGTCAACATCATCTTGTGATCTCATAGACTTATGTGGAGACTTTAACGGGATCAATAAATTGATTTTAATTTGCTTGAAATTTTATTCTGTAAGAGCTTTTATCTTATGGTACTACAACTACTGTGCTTGCATTATTGTGTGCATTATGCATTAATTGAATCTTGGGGTTGGAATATTGAAGCATTTTGAACAGCTCTGGTTCTGTCATGACCTCAAGCGCCATGTTGCAATAAACAACCTTTTTGCCAGTCCGTTGTGATCATATCAGATTGCTTGGCTGCATTTATCTTTCCCTTTGACTTTTCAATGTTGCCAGGGCTGCATTGTCACTCCAGGTACAGCATAATGTATTCTTAACCTGCAGATCTGATGGTTAAAGTGGACTGGTTTGTAGTTATTTGATTTAAGTGAATAATGGGCCAGGGCAACTTTATAATTAATGAGTCTTTTCTGTTTCACAGATTGATTGAGGACCTTTTCCCTTCAGAAATCAGCTTGGCACTGCCACAGAACCAAAGGTAAGCTTATAGCACTAAAAGCAGCTGGCTGATTGAATTATTTTGTTTGTTTGCCAAAATTCCTATATATTTTATAAATGTGTGTAGCTAATGTTTAGCTGTTATAATCTATCTCAAGTGATGGACTGCTGTATGTAAGGATGCACGATTATGATGTGGTTATCAACATATATTAGAGATTTATTTCTTATACTGTGTATATATATATTATTCAAACCCCATTGCAAATCAGGTTTATTGAAAACAGACTTTCGGCTGTTTGCTATGAACGAATCAAACAAAAGTAATTGAAATACCTCAACACAACAAATGTTTCAAGGGGTTTCTTTTTGCCAATAAACCTGATTTGCAATGGGGGTTGAGGAATTTAGATCACAACTATGTATATATACAATTCTAAAGAAATCTCTAATATAGGCTGATAACCACATATTAATCATGCATAACATTGTTTTTGGCTGCCAAGTCTCAAATGAATATCCATTTTTCATTCTTTTTTCCATGTTTCATCCTTTTTTATACTGCCTAAATTCAATGCATTTTAAACTGTTTTAGTTTTAGTGTCATATTTTTTTAGACAAAAAAAAAATAATAATATCGGCCATCATCTCATTATAACTTTAATATTGGTGCATGCCTAACTATGCGTAATAACACCATAGTTTGATTTCCTGGAAAATCATAAACTATTACAATTTAATTTGATGACATTAGTTGTTTAGAAATCACACACTTGATCTTCACCTTCAATTTTCTTTTTGAATCAGAAGTAGAATATTATATTTCATTCCGAGAGAAGTTGTGTCATGTTGTAAAATGCAATAAAATCAAGAATCTGTGGTTGAATAATTCTCTTGAACCTTTATTTAACTGACACAAGTACTAAAGAAAAGATTTCCAATATATTCACTGACCAACTTAATTTGTGTTTTGTACATAAAAACAAATTTAGATTTTGATGACTGAACAACACCCCAAAATAGACAATCCAAATCACAGATTCTTTATTTTATTGCATTTTACCCAACTTTTCTGGAAATGGGGTTGTAACAACGAACTTGACAACGTTATGATCTTTCTCATCCCACGTGTGTGACTGGCTTTTTCTTTAAACATTCTTTGTACTTTTCAATAACACTCTGAATATTTCCATAGACACGGGATGCGTGTTTTGAAAGGAACATAACGTCCGTGGACAGACGCAAACCTTAAAACCTTTCAGAAGTTAGCGAAATCTCAAATAACGCTGCTTTAAGCCTCGGATCCTCCTGTGTGCTCGCCACAGAGTCTGTCTGCGTTGGTAATTCCATTTGAAAAGTGAAAGCATGTGGGGATGTATGGAAACAGTAGACACAGTCTCTTCCTTTGGGACTCTGATGGTCCTGAATTACATCCCTGTGTGTCGTCTGCCCTGTTATCAGGTCTGAGACCTGCCGCCTGCCGTACATTCCACACGCTATCATTAACCCCTCGAACCCCGCCTGGAGGAAACCTCAGTGCTTCTTTCCTCCATCCACCCTCTCACTTCATGTCTGATCTCAGAGGGAGTCGCAGAAGTGTGGTCATCTCCTCAGAGCGCCTGCTTTAGCTCAGGGCTAATGAGAGGGGACAGTGGGAGAGGACCTCGGGCCCCACCACTGCACGAGCAAAGACTTTACAGTTTCATGTTTCCTAGAACAATAATTACACAAAGTGTCGTTTTCCCCATCAGTGAGGTGGAGTGTTGGAGTTTGGCTCTGTGTTAGGTGTCTGGACCAGTTGTCTGAAGAACAAGATGTATCGTGCCTAGTGGAAATTATGTAAAATGATCAGACTTAAACTGCACTTTTTCATAATGTAGAAAGATATTTGAATATTATTATTATTATTTTTTTTTTGTGGAATTACATGACTCACTGGTAAAGGCTGTCAGAGGAGTACGAAATCAATGTCAGTAGCCTTGAAGAAAAGCTGAGATGTTTTTATTTCCTCAGATGCCGAAGAAGCAGCTTCCCACACAGCTTGTGGAAAGGTGTTGCATTTCTAATTGTTTAGGTTTAGGAAATGGAATCTGAAAGTATGTGCTGCTTCCGGGCAGCCGTACTGTCCTACTGTGTGCTGTTTTTGGCGTCTGTTATAGCAGCCCTTGAGTTCAGCTGCTACGTAACACCGACACGACCCAGTCGCGTGGATTGCTCTATATGGCACTACATTTTTAATAAATTTCATTTATTAACATTAGTTAACTACATTAGTCAACAATATTTTACAGCATTTATTAAAATTAGTTAATGTTTATCTCAACATTTACTAATACATTTTAAATATCCAAAATTGTATTTGTTAACACGAGTTAATGCTCTGTGAACTAACATGAAAAAGATATCTTTTTTGAGTAGCATTAACAAAGGTTGATAAATGCTGTACAAATGTATAGTTGTATATAATTGTATAGTTAATGCATTGACTAATGTTAACAAATGAAAAGTGTAGTGTTACCTGATTTTTTTATGCAACACATTCATGAAAACTTTGGAGAAGGACTTTAGATATCTTTAGGTATTTCTAATATTGAGATGAGTATCAAATTCACGTCACAAATCAATACACAAATTCACAATTAACATAAATCTTTCTGGAACCTCTTAAGATTGTGATTTTTTTTCATAACCTTTCTCATCTTAAGAAGTCTTGCTCTTTCTTTGTTGATTTAACAGTTAAAATAAGCTTTGTCAATTTGTTGAATTGAGATTCAGTTCATTGTAGAAAATATATTTTATCCAATATTGTTGCATAATTTAACCTTGTTGCAAAGTTACTGTAAGCGAAAAAAAAACACCAAGAATACCAAAGACCAAAAATATTTTTCTTATAATTTATGTATGTTTATAAATTTAACCGTAATAAACCAACACATGTTCCCAAACTAGCTTCTCTCTACTGAGTGACAGCTTAATTTAGGCTAAATCTGGAACTTTTTTTTTACCCTATATCATTACCATATAAAATAGATAAAAAGCTATTTAGTTTGACTTCCTGAAATGGATGAACATTTTCTAAAATTGAATTACCTCTTTTCACAAACCCATTGTTGAAAAATAGTTTCTATTTTGTACTCTTGTCATGGATAGTGCCATTTATGGGGCACTAAGGCCTGAAACAATGGAGGATCTCCAGGATCTCTAGGCTAAATTGTGGTCAGTCTATCCAAATGTCTCATTTTCAAGGGCCAGTCGGTGTGTCTGCCTATTCTGCATCTCTCTGGAGAGGGTATGATATTTTTTATCTATTCATAACATGTACAAACCAGGATCTTTGTTTTTATTTGGAAGAATGGCCTTTGGCTGACTCAGGAGCTCTTTCAAATGTAGATCCTGAAGTGCTGTTGACCTTAGCAGACTTATTCTACTGAATTCTGTTCCACCTTGACCTTTCAGCACCATACAAACTGACTGCTATGATTGTACTGGATTCTTGGAGATAAGAAAAGAGTAAGTGGGTACAGGATGTGATGGGATGATGTCAGTACACCCACAGGAAAGCACGTAATGGAGGATTGTGGTGTGCTTTTATCTTCCAACTCAATGTCTCTCGCCTTCCTGTGCATTATATATTGTATTATATTATATTATATTCTCCAATAAATGTATACATTTACACTGTTCCGGTTGCTTTCTTGCTTCAAATGAAAGCCCTCTACATCCTTTAACCGTATTAAATGTGTCCAGTGTAGCATGGCAAGTGATCTACATTTGAAAACAGTTCTGACCAGCTCTGGGCCATTTTTTGCATGAACTTAAAATTAGGCTCAGCGTTACTGTCGATGAACTGCAGGTCATTGTGATGTGTACATGGGCACTTCTGCCAGCTTGGCCCATGTTCAATGCCTGTGGGTTTACTTGAAAAGAGAATGGGCAACAGTATTGATTCATAGTGTGGCGCATTATGTCTCTGTGGATGAACACAAACCCCCCTGCTGTGTGTAAATGGAGTCTCAGCTGGACTGTCCTGCACCAGAATTGTCATCTATAATTTTATTCACTGTCCACTGCTGAAACCCCTCTTTCTTCTTACTCATTAAATTTAATGGTAGCATCAGCTAGACTGCCTCTGATCTGTCTCTGTACCGTCACTGAATTAGGGCCCCTCGTATCTCTAAGTGCCCCGAGGCAGACAGTGTTGCCCCCTTTTATCTCAGCTAGAGTTTATGCCTTAGCCGTATCCCAGAGGTTAAATATATGGCCTTGACATTAGAGAGGCTTGGCTATGGTTTTTTGGTATGGCTCCTGCTTCACTTTGTGTTGGACAATTTGTGACTTTAAAGCTAATGAACCTAAAGAGTGACTTCCTGTGTTTCGGTTTGGTAAGGTTTGAAGCACTTGTTTGTATTTCGTGTGCATTATCAGGTGTGACCCTGTTACTGTGCAGCTGGGATTGGAAAACTGGAGCATCTGTGCTGGTTGTGACGTCTGGGGAATCGCCAGTATGTGTCGTTGGCAGACGCCACACCCTTCTGGGTCTTGAGATGTATAAAGGGGCTTCTAGACATGAGCGTAGACCTATGAGGCTGCATGTCTTGCATAAGACTTGCATAAAGAGTTCCACTTAATATTTCAATTTGCATCCTTTCTAAAGATCTTGCTTGGTGCTTTTGGCTGTGATTTTAGCAAGTAATGATCATTTCAATGAGTTGAACTGATCTGAGCTTGCATGTGCATCTAACCTCTATATCGCGATTGCAGGAAGGCTAATCTAATCTGCAAACTAATTTGTTCATTTGGAGTTTGTTTAGGATCCTCTGCTCTTTCCCCTCCTGCTTCTAATTGGCAGAGCTGTGTGTGAAGACTGTCCCATTGTGAGTGTTGCCAAGCCCGCGTAGGGAGTCTCTATGCATGTCTCCCGTTTACAGCACTCAGTTGTGCGTGAATGATGACATTAGTGATGCTTTGTCACTCTGTTGCAGGATGTTAGGACCTTTTTTCTTTTTCCTCCTCCTCTTAACCCGGAGCTCTCTTACTAAT